AAATGTCTGTTAAGGTCCTTGGCCCATTTTTTATTGGGTTGTTTGTTTGATTTTGGTGGTTTTTTGATCATTTATAGATTCTAGTTGTTAATCCTTTATCTGTTGTGTAGGTTGCGAATAATGTCTCCCATTCTGTTGGTTGCCTCTTCACTTTCCTGACTGTTTCCTTTGCTGTAAAGAAACTCTTCCATTTGAGGTAATCCCATTTGTTTATTTTATCTTTGATTACTCTTGCCTCTGGGGTCTTCTCCAGGAATTCTTCGCCTGTTCCAATATCTTGAAGGGTTTCCCCTATGCTCTCAATTAGTTTCGTGGTGTTGTGGCGCATCTCTAGTTCTTTGATCCGTGTTGAGTGGATTTTTGTATAAGGTGTAAGGTAGGGGTCTTGCTTCATACTTCGACATGTGGACCATCCAGTTTTCCCAGCACCATTTGTGAAGAGGCTGTCCCTTGTTCCAGGAGTGGTTTTAGGTTCTTTGTGAATATGAGTTTGGTGTAGAGTTTGGATTAATCTCTGGTGTTTATATTCTGTCCATTGGTCTATCCATCTGTTTTTGTACTAGTACCAGGCTGTTTTGATTAAACTGCCCTGTAGTATGTCCTGAAGTCTGGAATTGTGATGCCTCCGGCCTTGTTTTTTATTTGTAAAGGATTGCTTTAGATATTCTCGGTCTCCTGTTTCTCCCATATGAATTTCAGCATCGTTTTTTTCTAGGTCTTTAAATAATGACTTTGGTATTTTGATTGGTATTGCATTGAACTTGTAAATTGCTTTTGGGAAAATGGACATTTGATAATATTGATTCTTCCAATCCATTAGCATGGCAGGTTTTTCCATTTTTTTGTGTCGTCTTCTATTTCTTTCTTTAGTGTTTTGTAATTTTCATCATAAAGGTCTTTGACATCCGTGGTTAAATTTATTCCAAGGTACTTTATTGTTTTTGGGCTATCGTGAATGGAATTGATCTTAGAAGTTCTTCTCGGCCCTGGCATTATCTGTGTATACAAAGGCTGTTGATTTCTGAGCGTTGACTTTGTTATCCTATACTTTACCAAACTCTTCTATGCATTCCAATAGTCTCTTATAGGAGTTTATTGGGTCCCCTATATATAGTATCATCAACATGATATCTTACAGTTCTACCCATTTTTGCTGCAAGATACAGGATTTCATTCTGTTTATAGCTGCATAGTGTATATTCCTTTATCCATTCATCTAATGACAGAAACCTTGAATGATTCCATATTTGGTGACTGTAAACAGAGCTGCTATAAACCTGGTGGAGCAGGTATTTTTTTTTTTTTTTTGATACAACGAGTTGAAGTCTTTTGGATATATACCTAGTAGTAGGATTGCTCAATTACGTGGGCCACCTTCTGCTGTTTTCCAAGGCCATAGCAGGGAGCTGAATCAGAAGAGGAGCAGCCAGGACAGGAACCGGTGCCCACTTGGGATGCCAGCACCACAGGCAGAGTCCCAGCCTACTATACCACAGTACTGGTCCCAATTTTAATATTTTTAAAATAACATTTAGATATTTTATTATTTAAGAGTGCATAGTTTTAGAAAGCATTCATCCATATCAGGCAGTAATTATATTAATTTATTTAATCATCACAATAGGCACTTGAAAATCACTATTTTACATCCATTTTACGGATGAGAATATATGGGTTAAGTAATTTTCTCAAGAAAACATGGTTAGTATGCACGGGAACCTCTAACTGAACATAAGTAATTTCATTCCCAAATCCTCCTTACAGTTTGATTCAGAATGCTCTGGAAGAGACAGTAGTCTAATACAGCGGGTATTAAATTGCTGTCTATGAGCTATAGTTAAAAAAAAGGTTTATTTTGACCTTATGCATACAAACTGAAAGCAAGAAGCCTTAGAACAGTATTTACTCTTCCTGGGAAGCAAGCATTCTGCTAGTTCTACTCCATGCCATTTGATTCTAGTCTATGCTTTACAAATATTCTTTAAAAATTTGGTTGTTACCCACAATTTCACTCTAGTCCTAGTGAATCCATTCACGGTTTTAAAAACCCTAGAAAAAATAACAGAATCAGTTACAGTGATTGTGGTAACGACTTTAGAAGCTAAATAACTGACTTAGCACATTCAGGCTGCTATAACAAAATACTATAAACTGGATAAACAACAAAAATTTATTGCTCATAGTTCTGCAGGCTGGGAAATCTCATATCCAGGCATCAGCAGATTTGCTTTCTGATAAGGGCCAGCTCTCTGTTTCTTCTTATGTCTTCACATGGTAGAAGGGGCCTCTTTCATAAGAGCACTAACGTCATTCATGAGGGCTCTTCCCTTATGACATAATCACTCCCAAAGGCCCACATATCCTAATACCATTGCCTTGGAGGTTACCATTCAATATATGCATTTGAAGGGAGAGAGACACAAACATTCAGACCATAGCAATAGCTATTTTTGAACCAAAGCTCCAGCTATTAAGGAAAATGAAGGGGGCTGCAGGCAGAAAAGGTAGACTTACTGTGGTTCCCATGCAAATTAATATCCAGGTTCCAAGAGAACTCTGAGGAGTTCTGAGTTGTGAGTGACTAAGTGGAGATGAAAAATTGGAAATCAGCATACAGTTGAAAACCAACCGGTGCCGGCGCCGTGGCTCACTTGGCTGATCCTCTACCTGCAGTGCCAGCATCCCATATGGGCACAGGGTTCTAGTCCTGGTTACTCCTCTTCCAGTCCAGCTCTCTGCTGTGGCCCTGGAAGACAGTGGAGGATGGCCCAGGTGCTTAGGCCCCTGCACCCGTGTGGCAGACCAGGAGGAAGCACCTGGCTCCTGGCTTCGGATCCGTGCAGTGCACCAGCCGTAGCGGCCATTTTGGGGGTGAACCAACGGAAGGAAGACCTTTCACTCTGTCTCTCTCTCTCACTGTCTAACTCTACCTGACAAATAAATAATTAAAAAAATTATATATATAAAAAAAAGAAAACCAACCAAAGCCAATCATGAGCATCAGATTTCTGGGGAAGAATGAAATGAAAACAGAAAAGGCACTAAACAGAACTGCGGGAGCACCAGTATCTATGAGAGGACATGAAGAAGCCCCTCAGCAGAAGGGCGGGAGCAGTGCAGGAGGCCACAGGGCAGGTTGGAGCTGGAGGAGTCGGGGAAGCCAGAAGAGGGCGGGAGGGCAGGACCAGTGGTGCTAAACATTTGTCCCGTGGACCTGTCTTTGTCACTAAGCAGTTTGTGTGAACCACCATTCATCTTACTATTCTAAATTTTGTATTTGGGCTTTTAACCCCTGGTGCTTTACATTACATCTGGTCATTGGCCTTTGTTTCTCTGGTTCTTCTACTGGGGGTATTCTGCTGAAATCCAGCCCAGACCTCACTAAGTGCTTGCCTATGACGGAAATCAGTATAAATTCAGTGTACATTTTGGGTCAGGTGTATATTTGCCCTTTTAGGTAATCGCACAACAATCCTACAAAGGCAAGAATATATTCCTTCATTTTACAGAAAACAGATATGGAGAAGTGAAGTGCTTTGATACAAGGAATAACTGGATAAAGAAAATGTGAGATATGTGTGAATATATATACACATATGTATACATGCATACACACATACATATGTACAATAAAATACTACAAATCCATAAAAAAGAATGAAACCCCATCTTTTGCAACAAAATAGATGCAATTGGAGATCATTATGTTTAGTGAGATAGACCAATCCCAGACAGACAAATAGCATGTTTTCTCTCATTTGTGTTAGCTAATATAAACAGTACAAAAATTGTAATATGAATGATTTAAATTAACATCTTAAGATTTGATTAGTGTTTATAGCCCTTATCCATTTTCCCAAGGAACAGTGGTCTTTCTGCTTTCCACTTGTTGAATTCTTTATTTAGGGAAGGGTGGGTGCATGGCTGGAAGAAGGGTCAGGTGTGGGTAGTATTTCTATGCTCCTAAATCTGTATATATGAGTACATGAAATTTGTTCACCTTATATAAATTTAAAATTTTTTTATTAAAAAATAAATTGAAAGTATATTATTGTAAAAATTAAAGGAAAATAAGAAAGGAAGGAGGAAGAGGGAAGGTAGGAAATATTGTTATGTTCTTTTATATTTTTTATTTGACATGTAGAGTTATAGACAGTGAGAGAGAGAGAGACAAAGTTCTTCCTTCCATTGGTTCACTCCCCAAATGGCCACTACGGCCAGCGTTGCACTGATCCGAAGCCAGGAGCCAGGTGCTTCTTCCTGGTCTCCCATGCAAGTGCAGGGGCCCAAGCACTTGGGCATCCTCCACTGCCCTCCTGGGCCCAGTAGAGAGCAGGACTGGAAGAGGAGCAACCAGGACTAGAACCCGGCGCCCATATGGGATGCTGGTGCCACAGGCGGAGGATTAACCAAGTGAGCCACGGCGCCGGCCCCATATGCTATGTTCTTAAACTGTATATATGAACTATATAAAATCTGTTATCTTTATATAAGTAAATAAGTAAATTTAACTTTAAAAAAATAAACTGAAAAAAAAAAAAGACCCTATGTCTTTTTCTGAAGCCAGTGATTCTCCTATCTCACCTAACTGTCTGCTAATCCCCAAAGGGCTCTTGCTGGCTTCGGCCAACCTTCTAAGGTGTCCAGACAAGGTGCCCCTTCCCCATACCCTATTGGCTGCTGGCCAGGTTTTTGTTCACTTCTGATGGCCCTTGCATGACAGAGTGGTTAGCCAGCTATTGTGGCTGCCACGAATTACCTGCTGCTATTTACCATTCATTTAAATCAACTCATTTTTTAATGAAAAAGATGATTGTATATTCATGCCAATATCATTATAAATATATAGTAAAGCAAGAAAGGTTAATCAAGGAATAAAGAATAACACCACATAAAATGTTAAATCTTTTACAAACCATTAGCAGATGTCAGTGCAGTGTTACTACTGCCAGGCTGCTACCAAGTTTCCCATTGGTTTGCTCTTCTGCTGTTCCTATTTTGCTCCTCCCCCCACTTCTTCAACAGCCTGCCAATGAGGACCTAACATGCTGTGGACTAAATCTTCAAGAATTTTGATATTAAGGGTCTAAATTGACTACAGAGATCCACATGCGTTGAAAACATCAAGTAGCTACATGACAAGTGAGTGTAAATTTAGACTGCTTTAATAAAAAATTGTGTCTGGTGAAGATTTTGGAGATGGAAGATATAAAGCTTTTAGAAGTAATTATAAAACAATGCAGACCACTGTGCAAAGAGAGTCACAAAGTCAAATGGGGGAAAGAATAGAATAGAGGAGAGATAGTCTTTGAAATAGGGCTGGAATCATTAATAGAATTTTGCTAGGTGGAGATGGAAGTCAGACATTCTGGACTGAGTTAATGGAAGAAACAGAGGAGGAGAAAATGAAAAACACAGGTTGTATTTGTGCAACAGAAATTGGGAGGAAAATTTTTTAAAACTGGGAGAGACAAAAAAATTGGAATCAGGTCATTGCTGAGTTAGAATGTTACTATTCTTTTCTATGTTAGACAAATAGTAAATTAGCATTCTTGCTCATCAATCAGTCATTTGTGAACCTGTCAGGTTGCCTCAACTCTCCTAAACTGATCATCTCCGTATGTACCATATAAAGTAATAGTCTGGGGCAGGCATTATGGCTTAGCAGATTAAGCTGCTGTCTGCAGTGCTGGCATCCCATATGGGTGTCAGTTCTAGTCCTGGCTGCTCCACTTTCCACCCAGCTCCCTCCTAATATCCAAGTTCTTGGGTCCCTGCACCCCTGTGGGAGATTTGGATGAAGCTCCTGGCTCCTATCTTCTGCCTGGCCCAGCCTCGGCTGCTGCGGCCATCTCGTGACTGAACCAGCAGATGGAAGATCTCTTTTTTGTCTCTCCTCTCTCTCTCTAACTCTAATTTCAAATAAATAAACATAAATCTTAAAAAAAGTAAGAGCAATAGTCTTCCACGAATGGCTAAGAGTCATATCCAATATGTTGGGTGACCTCAGAGACTAGTTATTAGCCTGCTTCAGTTCTCCTCTCACTGGAGTCTACTGTGAGACCACCAGAATGGGCTTGCCAGCCAGCCCCCCATCATTCGCCTTATTCTTAACTTTTCTCAGAGTACTTTCCCCGAGCCCTTTTTAATAATTAGAGCTTCTTTACTGCAAGTTACAGGAGCTTATACAACAGAGAATATATTTGAATAAATTCTTATTAAAAGAATTTGGGAATGGGTCACAGAATGCGAGGGCCAGCTGTATCCTTTTATGAAGTAACTTGGAATCAGGGCCTGAAATGGGAGCTGGGCTCTGGTTTTCTCTCTTACCTAATTGTTCGCCTCATGTTGCTTCATTCATCTCTCTTTGTAGGCTGTCCTCCTCTGCTGCTGTCACCCCCATGCAGAAAACATACTTCCAATCAGCTGGAGAGAGACTGACTTCTCAGCGTTTTCCCCAACATCTCTGAATAGACTCTGGCTAGTTTTAGCCCACCCTGGGGCTAAGGGCTGGTGAAGAGGAAAGTGTCTATGAACCTGGCTGTGTAGAAGCACCTGAGTCAACTTGTGGATGGGGCAATGTAGAGAGAATGGGAAGGCCTGAGCAGCAGCTGGCCATTTCACCCCCCTCCAAGAGCTGTGCTAATATGGTGGACAGTAGCCTCACGTGGTCATTTAATTAGAAACATAAATTTCTTAAAATGGAATGAAATAAAAAATTCAGTTCCTTGGACACATTGGCCTCACATCAAGTGCTCAAGAGCCCCCTGTGGCCTGTGCTTACTGTATTGGGCAGCACAGATAATGAACATTTCCATCATGGCAGATATATTGGGCAGTTCCCATCCGGAGTTGAGGCATTTCTGGTTTTACCAGCAAAAGTCTTAAGTCTTCCAGCTACAGAAACAGCTATTACTTTTTGAGATGAATAACTGGAAATCACTTAATCCTTTCCAATAACCTGGAAAGAATTTCTCTGGAGACCTCAGAATTAGTTTCTGATCATACCCCACTTGAACACCAAGCAAAACCTCTTTACCTCATCATGCCTAAATTCTTCCTCTGCCTTATCTCAAAACTTTAAAGTCAAGTATTCATTATTCAAGGCTACGAGGCACATGCAATTCCTTTTAGTCAACTATCTTACCCATTCCCATAATATTCTCCGCTGCTTCTGCTGTAGGTTTTCTTTCTTTCTCTGTCCACTGTGCCCTCTCAATGTGGTAGAAATGGCCATATACACCTGAGATTCAGCCTCTCTTTCACAGAATAGAGATGTCACTGGGACACGGCTGCATCCTCCACCCCCTCCTGTATCCAGGTGTGGCCATGTGACCAATTCAAATCCCTGAGTTGGAGAAGAGATTGATTCACCTTCCAGATGGGTCTGTAAAAAGCATCTTTGTTTTTCCTGCACTATTACTCTGTCTGAATGGAAAACATCCTGTAGCTTTAGGGGATGGCAGAGCCACAAGATGGAGAGAGCTTGGATCTGTGACCTATTCCATGGAGAAAAGGTACAGCTAAGGAAGAACACCTGCCACCGTCTCTGAATCTGGGGATGAGGAAAGCCACTGCAATCAGGGGTCTATTTGTTAAAGCATTTGTCTTGCATTACCCTGACACCTAGTTGACTTCCTTGCATTCTTACTATCTTGCCTTAGTTCCATCTCCTGCTAGTCCCCCAGTAACCTAGTTTTAGAAGAGAGCTGTGCATTTTTCCACAGCAGATATAATGAGGCTGGCATATTGTAAAAACAGTTTCTTAACTGCTTATTGCGTCTTTCTGATCACTTCACCTTTGAAATAGTGCCTTTCAAATTTCCCTGGCTGGTACACCACACATGAGGTTGACATTGACATTGTTGTATTGTCTGCCTGTGCTGAGAGAATCTGAAGATGGAAGGGAATGCCAGCATCAGGCCAGCATCTATAACAGCCGTAAGAAATGTATGAAGTTGTGTCTACATCAAGCTCTCTGGTACTATGAGGAAAAACACCATTTCCCTACCCATTTCATCTCTTTTATTAGTCTCACTCATTCTTTTCCCACTCCCCAACTGCCTCATCTGTCCCATTCCTGTGGAAGATGTGGGCACCTGAGGGACATCCAGCATAATACATCAGTGCTGAAAAGTGTAGCCCAGAAGGTAGATGAGAGAGAGAGAGAGAGAGAGAGAGAGAGAGATTTTATAGATAACTAAGGGGGAAATGCTCCACTTGGTTAAACTCTTAAAAAAGTTATGTGGGAACCAGTACTGTGGTATAGTAGGCTAAGCCTCCACCTGCAGCGCTGGTACCCCGTGTGGGCACCAGTTCATATCCCAGCTGCTCCTCTTCCAATTCATCTCTCTGCTATGGCCTGGGAAAGCAGTGGAAGATGGCCTAAGTGCTTGGGCCCCTGCACCCACGTGGGAGACCTGGAAGAAGCTCCTGGCTGCTGGCTTCAGATTCCCAGCTCTTTGGGGAGTGAACCAGCAGTTGAAAGACCTCTCTCTCTCTGTCTCTCCCTCTCTCTGTAACTCTACCTCTCAAATAAATAAACAAAAGCTCTAAAAAAATTTTTTGTGATACTTTACTACTGATTTGCTTCAGAGCTTTTTTTTTTTTTAAATAAAAAAGCACTTTTGTGTTTCTGAAAATGGTTCTAAAATTCAATGGTATTCTTGCTTGTACCTAGTATTACAATGTAATCGGTGACTTAAGATCACATTTTTGCAGGTTTTCTAAAAAGAACTTCCTTTTCCATGAAGCTTTCTAAGTTTCTTTGCAACTTATTAGATTTATAGCTGATTTTTTCAAAGTTGACTGGAACCTTGCCCTGCAGACAACAACAGCAGAATATGAATTTTTGGAAGGTGGCAGGACTGTCTTTCTTGGACAAAGTCTGTAACTGTTATCAAGAACAACTCTTCAGAAATGTCACCAAGCTAATGCCTATGGCCAGAGTAACTCCTCTCCTGCCCACCCCACCCCTTTTCTTGAGTAGTTACTGCAGGTTCACTGCGTTTTTCTCTAGCAGATGTTGAATCCTGTGCCACTCATATCCTCCATCTGATCACTGAAATGTGCATCCCAAGATGGTGCTCTTGAGCTGTGCTGAAACATCTTCAGACAGGACTCTGGGTCCACAAGGAAGCAAGGATAACGAAGGACATCACTAAAGAACCAACTGGATGCAGCATTCCTAGGAGGCCAAAACCGTGTAGGAAACAGCATCACGGACAGCTGGCCTCTGAAGAGCAATTGATTCCTTCCAGGCCAAGGGCAAGCATTTCAAACAGTGCCCACCAGGTAAGCTCCACAACGCTTAGCTGCGTTATAGCTAGGATGATTTTATTTCTGAGTAAGTAACTGACAGAAGCAGAAATTGAGCATTTTTCCCGATGTGGGTTTTATTTTTAACAAATGAAACAGTAACAAATATAAATAACTGCTGCAACAGCAGAGTGTATTTTCTTCCAAAATGAAGATCATATTTAGAACGTCCCAAACAGGGACATGTTGTCTGATAGGAGGTCACAATATCAGAAAATGAAAGTGTCTTATTAAGTAGTCCTTAAGCAACTTAACGTCATGGATAGGCAAGCTTTTTTTTTTTTTTTAAAAAAAGGGTTATTTGAAAGGCAGAATGACAAAGACAGATGGAGAAATAGAAAGAGAAATCTTCCATTGCTGGTTAATTTGCCAAATGTCTGAATAATCAGGTGTGGGCCAGGCCTGTGCTAGGAGCTGGGAACTCCATCCTACTCTCCCACATGATAGGAAGGGGTTGGGCCATCTTCCCTGCTGCCTTCTCAGGTACATTAGCAGGAAGCTGGATTGCAATCAGAGCGCAAGGACTTGAACCGGCTCTCTGATACAGGATGCCGGCATCACAAGGAACCACAATGCCAGGCTCCAAGCAAAATTTTTTTAAAGAGTTTAACAGAAGCCAAATTCTTAAGTAGAAATATGTCTAACCCAATTGTTCCATAATTGTCCCAGATCTTTGTATTTGTAGCCACAGGCTGCACCCCAGTCCGGGGCTTTTTAAAGTGTGGTTCCTGGGAGAACTGCATCAGAATCCCTTATGTTGCAATTTCCAGACATAACTTCCAGGCCTGGCGACTGTGAAGGTGAATGGGAATGGGAAGTTTTAAGCGGCTCACCGGGCATTGTCTGTCCGCTAACATCTGCAGACAGCTGCCCTCCGCTCTTCCATAAAGGGAACAATAGTTTTATGAGCACTGCTATCACAACTTGCCACTCAGAGACTTCTCATTTCTCCCAGCCGAGGTCACTCTTAGCCTGCTGCTTCTAATGCTGCCTCCCAGCCTGCTGCCTGCCAACTGTGTGACACAGTGGGCAGTAGCAGGGGCTTCCTGTGTGTTTGGTTTCCTCTGCCTCAGGGTGCAGGTTTGGTCCTGTGTTAATATTTTCAAGCACATCTTGTTTTTCATAAGAGGGAGGGAGGAAAAACCATTTTAAATTTCATCATGAAGCAAGCAAACAAAAGTAAACCCACCACCACTAAACTGTACCAAAGCAGGTTTTAAGCTGCCTTTTTATTCATAGATTCTACACAACAAAAGGAAATCAGTAGCAGTTGGGTCTTGATCCAAGGGGGTTTTCTTGTCCTTTCATAACCAGAATTGTCACTTACCTAAGTTGCCAATTTTGCTTTTGCTTAATTTTAAAAAAAGGGAGTTATATTTTATTAACCAAATTAAATTACTTTTGTTCTTGGAATTTAATATTTCTGGTATTTACAGAAACCTATTAAGAGCTTCTTAATTGTAAAAAAATGAGTTTAATAACATTTCTCAAATTGGTTTATCAATTTGTCATCATTATGAGTGAAATTACTTGTAATATGTTTGTCACTAAGAAACCTGATTTTATTTCAACAAAAAAATTTAAAGTACTTGGATTTTTCATACAAATCTTTTGTGGTTTACTACAAATAGTTCACATCCTAGGACTTAAGATTCCCAGACTGGCTTCTACTTATTACTCACTTCTGGATTTTATGGAACTAGTCATTTCCCAAATATTTTAGCTCTACTTTCCAAATCTTTAGAAGAAGAAAGAAAATAATAATAATAATAATAATAGAATCTCGTCCTTTCCAAAGAACTAGCAGAGAAATGAGAGAAGGAAGAAAGCAAATAGGAATGTTAGAATTGGAGAAAATGTAATGAAAAGCCAGCTGGCAAGAGGGGGGAGTTTCAGAGATGACAAATACCAGAAGACATGTAAACTGAGGAGTTTACAACATTATAAGAAATAGATGTTCTAAGCTCATTTTGATAGTAGACAGTATATAAATATTGGTATATTATGAAAGGGGATGTGCCAAGACTATGAATAATTTGAACAAAAATTAAAATGGATTACCTTCCAATAACACCTGAGGCCACAAAACTACAGGGAACAGATTCTTCATCAGAAGACAGAACCTCATTCAAAGATGTGACATGCACATACTTCATTCTACATCAAATTTCACACACAAAAATAAATTAGAATGAAATTCATTTCTATAATTATAACCTGACACTCTTAGAAATATGAATGCTATGCCAACTCAGAGTCAAAAGCAAAATTGGAAAATTTTGGTGTAAGAGGAGTGAAAAGAAAATAGAATCCACAGAAATAGAGGTTTCAGGTGTGCCTATGCAGGCACCACTTAACCCATAGTCCCAGTTAATCACTGTTTGTAAGTGATGACTGCAGCCTACTTGACTTGATGATAGATATTCTTTTCACTGGTAGCAGCTTTCATTTCTTTTTGCTAGAAATTACATTTTTCTTTCCTGTTATAGAGTAAAACTGAAGACTGCTACCAGAACACATCTGTCCGCATGGCCCTGACACAGTAGCTTGGACTCCCAGCTTATACCACCTTCCTTTACTGGAGTTATTTTTCATTGCATTCCAAAGGCAGAAACTCTTGGTCATGATCAGCAAAGAGTTTAATGTGGTGGCAGGCGGCTTTCTACTGAAATGAAGCTTCATTTCAAACAAAACACATGGCGGCCACTTGGGAGGCTCCTGGTAAGCTAATCTTTCTGTTTTCTTGGCATCTCCATTGCCTCTCATGGCTCATGGAATGCGTACATGGCAGGACCAAGACACCACTGTCTGATGCTGTTGTCCGTAGGAAAATGCTGGGTTTTGAGCTAGGATTTCCCATTATGTTGCTTTACAGCCCTCCACTGTTGTCTCAGTATAGTTGCCTCAGGGGAAAGGTAGTCTTCTCTAGGGTGGTCATTGGCAACCCTTTGAATGTAACCCGGGACCATTAGGAAATCCTCCATCTGTGGTGGCTGTGCGGAGGAATATGGATTAGAGTACCAGCTCTGATGAGGAAGTGTGCCTTACAGCAGGTGTTAGAATGGCAAGTCTTCCTGGAGGTGTCCCAACAAAAGGACAGGGAGACTGGGGATTTGTCTTGAAGATTTTTTCCACTGTGGCTTGTGGCAGTGATTTGGAATGGATTTTTTTTTTAATAGTGAATTAAGCGCCAGGCATCCGCGGCTCACTAGGATAATCCCTCTGCTTGTGGCACCGGCACACTGGGTTCTAGTCCCGGTCGGGGCGCCGGATCTGTCCTGGTTGCCCCTCTTCCTGTCCAGCTCTCTGCGTGTGGCCGGAAGTGCAGTGGAAGATGGCCAGGTCCTCGGGCCCTGCACCCGCAATGGGAGACCAGGAGACGCACCTGGCTACTGCCATCGGATCAGCGTGGTTCACCATTGGGGGGTGAACCGACAGAAAAGGAAGACCTTTCTCTCTGTATCTCTCTCTCTCTCTCTCACTGTCCACTCTGCCTGTCAAAAAAATTTTAAAAAAATAGCAAATTTAGGAATTTGTGGACTTTCTTCAAAACTGATCATTTTGATAAAAGCTCACCTACAAAGGGAAAGTTCCATTGTGAGTTTCTGTTTTGTTTTCTAAGAGAGCACAGCGGTACTTATGTGTTATCTTACTGTATTTTAGGGATACTCCTTCTTTGGAGATTTATTTTTAGGTGTTGCAGTCTCTCTTCCTCTCCCTGGGGTGTGAGGGAGGCTTTGCAATATGTTCTGTGAGACTTCTCCAAAGTGATAAATGAGATTTTTCAATCTTCTCATTCAAACAGTAACTGCCTGAAAAGCCAAGAAGTGGAGTGAGGGGGCGGAGATGAAGGTGACAGATTGATGAAGATCAGGAGAAACGAATTTGGAAAGGGAGGGAGGAAGCAAACTGATGAAGAGTTGTAAAAACCAGAAAAGCAATTCTAAATTAGATGTAGAAATGGCAGGATGACAAGGTGAAGTTCTCTACAGGGAGGAGAGTTGCTAGGCTGACACATTTGAGTCAGCCTGAAATTTTTAAAAGTAGGAATTCAAAAAAGCAAGAGCAGTGTAATTATTCTACAGAAGGCAGAAATTGGTAAGTTACCTGCAGAGGTGAACCCTGGGCAGCTCATCTGGGGCCTTTCCCTGATTCTGTGCTGTGATTTGGTCAACGCAGCTTGTTTTTAATTTGTTGCTAAAGGAGAATTATCAAACACATGAGTCTGACTTAAGTCATAGAGTACTGACCTCAGGAGTTGCAAACACCCCTCACCCTTGGTTTCTGCAGGCCATCTTACTTTCCTTGCATTAACTATTTACTCTCTGCTGGCTCCTGAAAATTGCACAGAAAGGAACACTGCAAAAGGACTCACCCCCTGAAATCTCACCGCCACTGAATGCATCCTGCTCCTCACTAACTTAGGTATTGACAAGGTTAAAGAAAAGCAGCTGGGAGTCTACGTGGAAATCTGGTGGAGAACACTGGTGTCCAGGCTCATCAGTATTCTATAATGAGCTTCCCTGGGATCTCTCTCTTTTTTGTCCAGCGACACATCCCCACCCCCACCCCCCCACTCCACCCCACATCCCATACCCCATCCCTAGTCCTGGAAACTTTGTTTGCCTTTGAATTTTCTTGTGACCAGGTCAAAAAAGTGAGAAAAACATTCCTCACCCAGCGCCAGGGGGTCTAGTGAGAACCAAACTAAATAACATTATACAGAATGCTGTGTAAAGCAACATAAGCCCAATCTCACAAATAGAAATGATGATACTATTCAAATTCTCACCCCATCTTCTTTTCTCACTTTTGTCTCTCTCTTTTCTCACATATGTGTGTATAACCTCATGAACATGTGAAAGCATGCATGTGAGTGTGGAAAATGTGATTTCATGCCCATCCTAAATTTCTATAAATGTCATAGTGCAATTAGTAACCCTGTGCATTTATAAATGGCAGTCAGCTCCTGAATACAAACAGAAGTTAAGAGCATCACATAGTGAGCAGAACAGGAAACAGAGGAAGTGCATTTATAATGGGCATCTTTTTTTCCATCAGCCTTAGATTCTCAGGACAACAATTGAATTCAGCAACTCCCCATAAGGCCCTAAAGATGAACTTAGTTTTTTAAGGACACTGATGAACTCACTGCCATTTTGTGCAAGCATATTATTGTATTCCTTTATTATCATATATAGTACCTTTCCTGAAAAGCCAAAGGCATCTTTTACAAAACTGCCGTGATCCTCCACCGTGTCCTCTGGACTGACTTGGCTTCATTACAAACCATAAATAAAACTGCCCTTATTTGAAATGTCTCCTACAGAAGTTGTTAACAGTGAATTGGATAGTCATGATTTGTGGATTCTAAAGGGAGTCATTTCATGGGAGTTAAACAGGGTGAATTCCTATAGGTTTGATCTATTGGAATTATTTTGACTCAAAAAAATTAGTTGCATCAGAACAATTCCAGTGCACTTGAAGTGTCCCTCATAATTACTAATATTTCTTTTAAATTAAAAGAAATTATACTATGACTACACTGCATAAAGTAAATATGAAACAATTATTCAATTTGCTGATTCAGTGAAGATCTCCAAACAAAGAAGTATTTATGGGCATATTTTCTGGGTTCCCTGGGTTTAGTTGTCTAACTAGGAGGTCAGTCACATTGTCTGGATGGCCTGCAGAACTCCTGAGGAAAGTGGCTTCTTTTTCTTTAAGATTATGTTTATTTACTTATTTGAAAGGCGAGAGAGAGAGAGAGAGAGAGAGAGAGAGAGAGAGAGAGAGAGAGAGAGAGAGAGAAATCTTCCACCCGCTGGTTCATTCCCTAGGCCAGAGCTGGGGCGGCCAAAGCCAGGAGCCACGAGCTTCTTCCAGTTTTCCCACATGGGCAGCAGGGGCCCAAGTAGTTGGACCATCTTCTGCTGTTTTTCTCAGACCATTAGCAGGGTGCTGGATCAGAAGTAGAGAGCTGGGACTCGGACCAGTGCCCTTATGAGATGCTGGCAATGCAGTCAAAGCTTTACCCAGACACCACAATGCTAGCCTCAGTGGGTCCTTTTTCACTCCTTATTGGAGGGAGAATGCTGGACAGCCACATTTGGTACCAATGTGTCCTCACCTCTTTGAACATTGGTTGGATAAGGATGGGGACCTGACTCAAAGGCAGCCAATGAAGGAGCTATTAGCTACCCATGCGTAATAGAGGATCTTAGCCAGACCATTTGTCTGTCTTGGGAATTTCATGTAGGACATGCCAAGAGAATTAAATAGTCTGCAGTGGGGAGACAAAGTGAAAGGGAGTGAGATAGAGACTGGTGGGATCAGGCTAAGTGAGGTAAAGCCTCGTAAGTTATAGTTATGAATTAGCTGATCTAGAGAGGAGAGAAGGATCTCAGATTGGAGGGTGATGAAGGTGGGTTACAGGAAGAGAAAATAGAAGGCATGTGGAGAAGAACAGGTGCCCTAGAAATTGTGGAGTACTGCAGCAAGACACACCACTGCCGAGATCTCCAGAGAAGCTGTGGAGTAAGACCCACCCACGGTTTACTCTCCTGCCCCTGGAAACTCAAAAAACCTCCAGCCTGATATGGATATTATAGCACATAGATTCACTGCTTACCAGCCATTGTGATAGTGTACGAATCCAAGTCATAGTCATTCACCTAAAAACAAGAACGAAACAAACAAAAATAACAAAATACCTTCTTCCTAGGAGATTTTCCAACAACACTATAGAGATTAATGTGTACTTGGTAGACAATTTACTCTTTAGCAGGCTAATTACATTTTTAGCAGGATTAAAACATTATCTTAATAAAAAAGAAGGTATAGATATGGGGGTATTCTTGAAATCTCAGCATATCCTCTTCCTAGTCTGTTGTTTTTCCTAGATAATGATATTACTGTCCCTATTTACATCAGAACAGAAACTCAGAACACCTGCTAATTTATGCTATACCTTATTTTCTTCCCCAAACACTACTCCTAGAAATTAGCTATTTCTTTAGTCATCTAATATTCAACAGCCATGCAGCAATCTCTCATTATCCCCCTCTTTGATTAATGCTCTTTTAAATTACTAAGTATAGTTGTCACTACTGAAAAATAAAACTAGAAGAACTCATATTAAAATGTTTTCCATTTTCATTTACGTTTACTCTCCCTAGTATTATTTATTAAGCAATTAAATTACTATTAGCAGATGGTAATTGCAGGGAATAAAATGCAAATGCCTATGATATCAAATAAGAATGTTTATTGATAGAATTTAAACGTTCATTGTTGATTGGTCATTTTCCTATAGAAGAAAAAGATAACAGGGTTGCATATTATGTCCCACTTAGATTAATTAATGCATTTACTCAAGAGATCGTGGTGGTGTCCTAAGTTAATGATATGGAAAGACAGTGATTTTGAGCATATGGTCAATGTGGAATATACTTGTATAGGCACAGAAAAACTAAGACATAATGGTGTAATATCTGTGAATGGTTAGTGCTTGTCTGTTTAGAGAGCATAGCACACTTGAATCTCAAGGAGCTGAAATCCATTACATACACTGAAGAAGGGAATAGTTTGAGCATCAATAATTTCTCATATTTTTCTCCCACTGATGGATTTCCACCATGGATGTCCAGTTTTAAATGGATCATTCATATTTCAAATGTATCTTTTTAAAAATATATTTATTTATTGAAATATTCTATTAATTCAATATATATTAATAGCCAAAATGAGGTCCTGCTAAGCATGAGAGAATCTCTTGCATACTGACTTTACGAATTTCAGTAGAAATCAAAGGAATTGGATTTGTGCAAAGTTTCTTTAAAAAGGTATTTATTTACTAGGGAGGCAGTTACAGAGAGAGGAGAGACAGAGAGAGAGGTCTTCCATCTGCTGCTCACTCCAGATGGCTGCAATGCCAATCTGAAGCCAGGAGCCAGGAGCTTCCTACAGGTCTCCCACATGGGTGCAGGGGCCCAAGTACTTGGGCCATATTCTATTGCTTTCCCAGGCCATAGCACGGAGCTGGATCAGAAGTGGAGCAGCTGGGACTCAAATCAGTCCCATATGGGATGCCAGCACCACAGATAGATGCTTAACCTGCTATGCACAGTGCCAGCCCCTTGTGCAAACTTTTCTGCTAGATTTTGTGAGACATCGAAAATAGCTCAGAAATTCCATCAATATCCTCTGACAGTTCCAGGAATACTACAATGAGACCTCTGTAGTCATAGTTTTTGTAGTTCTTCAAGCTTTTAAGGACAATTTTGATATCAAATCCTCATTTCCACGGTCAGCTTAGAATAGGGGTTTTGATTATGGGGTTGTTATATAGGTAACCAACAGATCATCTTGTTCCTCACTGAAAGTAGAACCTGGATTTGGTTAATTCTTGTACAGGGAGCATCTGTTTCAGAGGAGACTGACTCCTTATCAACCTGAAAGCACGACTTAAAATTGGTTTGTACCTTTTTCTTTGCCTTTGACTTGGTGTAGCTGGTTCTACCAATAAGAGATTAGGAGAAACTTACCGATTAAACCAATCATGTTAAGTATGTGACAAAAGTTGACCTGGATTGGGGAGCTTTATGGAATTTTCTTTATTGTTTAAAAAATGGAAAGAAACAATGAAATTTCACTTTCCCTTTGCCCTGCCTGTGTGGGTACAGTGTAATGACATGACACTTGGAGCTACCACAGTTTCTTTTAGATCATGGGGAAATTGCACTGGGAAGATGGAAACTGGCAGACTGGAAAGGTAGAAAGAAGCTTGACCCTGGTAATTTGTTAAATCACTTTATTTACTAATCCTGGAATTTCTCTACCTTGGATTTCTTTCTGTGTGATGTGACTTTAGTCACTTTTAGTTGTTGTTTTCTAGATATTCTTTTTTTTAACTTTTATTTAATGAATATAAATTTCCAAAGTACAGCTTATGGATTACAATGGCTTCCCCCCCATAACGTCCCTCCCACCTGCAACCCTCCCCTTTCCCACTCCTTCCCCCTTCCATTCACATCAAGATTCATTTTCGATTCTCTTATATACAGAAGATCAGTTTAGCATACATCAAGTAAAGATTTCAACAGTTTGCTCCACACAGAAACATAAAGTGAAAAATACTGTTTGAGTACTAGTTATAGCATTAAATCACAATGTATAGCACACTAAGGACAGAGATCCTACATGAGGAGTAAGTGCACAGTGACTCCTGTTGTTGACTTAACAAATTGACACTCTTGTTTATGGCATCAGTAATCACCTAGGCTCTTGTCATGAGCTGCCAAGGCTATGGAAGCCCCTGAGTTCACCGACTCTGATCATATTTAGACAAGGCCATGGTCAAAGTGGAAGTTCTTCGTCCTTCAGAGAAAGGTACCTCCTTCTTTGATGACCCATTCTTTCCACTGGGATCTACTCACAGAGATCTTTCATTTAGGTTTTTTTTTTCCCCCCAGAGTGTCTTGGCTTTCCATGCCTGAAATACTCATGGGCTTTTCAGCCAGATCGGAATGCCTTAAGGGCTGATTCTGAGGCCAGAGTGTTTAGGACATCTGCCATTCTATGGGTCTGCTGTGTATCTCACTTCCATGTTGGACCATTCTCTCCCTTTTTGATTCTATCAGCTGTATTTGCAGACACTATTTTGTTTATGTGATCCCTTTGGTTCTTAGTCCTATCATTATGATCAATTGTGAACAGAAATTGATCACTGGGACAAGTGAGATGGCATTGGTACATGCCACTTTGATGGGATTGAATTGGAATCCCCTGGCATATTTCTAACTCTACCATTTGAGGTAAGTCAGCTTGAACATGTCCCGAATTGCACATCTCTTCCCTCTTATTCCCACTCTCTGTTTAACAGCGATCACTTTTCAGTTAAGTTTCAGCCCTTAAGAATAATTTCTTCTTCTTTTAAGGATTTATTGTTTTTATTTGAAAGGCAGAGTTACAGAGAGAGGTAGAGATAGAGTGAGAACAGTTTCCATCTGCTGGTTCATTCCCCAGATGGCCACAAAAACCAGAGCTGGCCTGATCCGAAGCCAGGAGTTTTTCCAGGTCTCCCACTTGGGTGCGGGGTCCAAACATCAGGCCATCCTCTGCTGCTTTCCCAGGCACACTAGCAGGGAGCTGGATTAGAAGTGGAGTAGCCGGAACTAGAATCGGTGCCCATATGGGATGCCGGCACCTCAGGCCAGGGCTTTAACCTTCTGTGCCACAGTGCCATCCCTGGATATTTCTGATAGAGCTAAAAACAATTCGATTGGTATCATAAAAGCAATTAGAATTTTTAAAATATTGGAAATAAACAAGCTTACTCATGGAATCTGAGTTGTAAGGCACCTTAAAGGTCATCTACTTTAACCATGACTACGCTGTGAAACTTGAAAATGAACAAGCAATCAAATACTATTATGTGGGAGTAGCTTTCACTGACACCTTGAATTACTGCCAGAATGACCAAATTAATGGTGTATTAATAAGAGGCAATCTCTTAAAGATTGAATTATGTTCTCTTCCCTCCCCTTCATGTGTTGATAGGGTCCTTTTTTTTTTTAAGATTTATTTATGTAGTTGAAAGTCAGAGTTACAGAGAGGGAGAGGGAGAAGAGAGAGAGAGAGAGAGAGAGAGAAGAGAAAGAGATACGTCCATCCACTGGTTCACTCCCCAGATGGCCACAATTGCCAGAGCTGCGCCAATCTGAAGCCAGGAGTCAGGAGCTTCTTCCAGGTCTCCCATGCAGGTGCAGGGGCCCAAGCACTTGGGCCGTTTCTATGCTTTCCCAGGTCACAGCAGAGAGCTGGATTGGAAGTGGAGAAGCCGGGACTCAAACAGGGCCCATATGGGATGCTGGCACCTTAGATGGCGCCTTTACCCGCTATGCCAGAGCGCTGGCCCTGATCTTTAAAGAGGCAGGAGATACTTGGATGATTTGAGATAGGGTCTTTAAGGAGGTAACTAAGAGTAAATGAGGTCATAAGGCCTTAATCTGATAGCACTGGTGTCTTTACCAGGAGGGAGGTAGCACTGGGGATACCTGCACACAGAGAAAAGCCATGTGAGGACACGATGAGACAGTGGCTGTCTGTAAGCCAAGGAGAGGCCTCGGGAGAAAGCAAGGCTGCTGATACCTTATCTTAGCTTTCTGTTGTCAGCATTGTGGAAAAATATATTCTGGTGTTTAGGCCACCTAGTCTGTAGTATTTTGTTAAAGCGCCTTGAGGAGACTAATAGAAGATCCAAAGAAAATTGCTTTAAAAATAAGCAAATTTATCCTGTCAAAATATTGAGATGTCATGGTTGATTACTTAACAGCTCAGTGATGTGAGCCAGGCCCCGGGATCTCTCCATCTTCCTGCTCCGCCATCCTCAGCATACTGACTTCTCACCGTGCATGTGTTCATGCATGGAAGCCAAGGATTAGTACCAGCTCCAAGTTTAACTTCCACACAGCTGCTTTCAACAGAAAAGCCAGCTTCTCATGAAAATCTGTCTAAGAGTGAAGGAAATTTTCCCAGAAATCGGTCAGTAGTCGTTTTTAAAACATTGTATATTCATTTTTTGTCTTTCGGCTTTAAAGTCTTTCAGATCATACAGAAAGTGTAGAGTTCAGTGAGTATACATAGGTCTAACAGCTTTTAACATTATGCCACATTTGCTTCATATTTACATATACACATACACACACTGCTTTTTTTTTAAAAAAGATTTATTTATTTATTTGAAAGGCAGAGTTACAGAGAGATGGAGAGAGACATAGACAGAGAGGTAAAAAGACATCTTTCATCCACATTTGGTTCACTTCCCAAATGGCAGCAAGAGCTCCAGCAAGGCCAGGCCAGTCAGAAGCCTAGAACTCCATTCAGGTCCCCTATGTGGCTGGCAGGGGCCCAACTACTTGGGCCGTCTTTGCTTTCCCAGGCACATTACAGGGATCTGGATAAGAAGTAGACCAACTGGAACTGGAACATGTGCTCCTATGGGATGCCAGTATTCCAAGTGGTGGTTAACCTATTGCACTACAAGGCTGGCATCTACCTATTACTTTTTTTTTTTTTGAAGATTTGTTTTATTTTGAAAGACAAGTTACAGAGAGAGGTAGAGACAGAGAGAGAGAGAGAGATCTTCCATCCAGTGGTTCACTCCCCAGATGCCACAGAGCTGCGCCAATCCGAAGCCAGGGGCTAGGAGCTTCCTCTGGGTCTCTCATGTGGGTACAGGGGTCCAAGGATTTGGGCTGCCTTCTACTGCTTTCCCAGGCCATAGTAGAGAGCTGGATCAGAAGAGGAGCAGCTGGGACTAGAACTGGTGCCCATATGGGATGCTGGTGCTTCAGGACAGGGCTTTAACCCACTGCACCACAGCACCGGCCCCCCTATTACGTTTTAAAAACATATTTTTAAAAGTATGTATCATGGGGCCGGCACTGTGGTGCAGTGGGTTAACACCCTGGCCTGAAGCACCGGCATCCCATAGGGCACGGTTCGAGACTCGGCTGTTCCACTTCTGATCCAGTTCTCTACTATGGCCTGGGAAAGCAGTAGAAGATGACCCAAGTCCTTGGGCCCCTCCATTCGTGTGGGAGACCCAGAGGAAGCTCCTGGCTCCTGGCTTCGGATCAGCACAGCTCTGACTGTTGCAGCCAATTGGGGAGTGAACCATTGGATGGAAGACCTCTCACTCTGCCTCTCCTCTCTCTGTGTAGCTCTGACTTTCAAATAAATAAATAAATCTTTTTTTTAAAAAAAGTATGTATCATATACATGGGATTTGTGATACAGATCATAAAATGAGGAAAGAAGATTATTATTTAAAAGATTTATTTTTTTATTTGAAAGAGTTACACAGAGAGAGAAGGAGAGGCTGGGAGAGAGAGAGAGAGGTCTTCCATCCACTGGTATACTCCTCAATTGGCCACAATGGCTGGAGCTGTGTGGATCCAAAGCCAGGATCCAGGAGCTTCTTGCCAGTCTTCCACATGGGTGTGCAGGGGCCCAAGGATTTGGGCCATCTTCTACTGCTTTCCCAGGCCAGAGAGAGACTGGATTGAAAGTGGAGCAGCCAGGTCTCGAACCGGCGCCCATATGGGATGCCGGTACTGCAGGTGGCAGCTTTACCTGCCACGCCACATCACTGGCCCCAAGATTGCTCTTGTAAATTCTTGCTCATCAAGATCATTGTATATAAAAATGCTACTGGTTTTGTGTTATTATGCTGCAACTTTAAAAATTTTATTTATTTATTTTTATTTTCCCTCTCTCCCTCCCTCCCTCTCCCTCTCTCTTTCTCTTATCCTGCCACTTTGCTGACTTCACTTATCAGGTTTTTTTTTTTTTTTTTTTTTTTTTTTTGACAGAGTGGACAGTGAGAGAGAGAGAGAGAAAGGTCTTCCTTTGCCGTTGGTTCATCCTCCAATAGCCGCTGCGGCCGGCGCATCGCGCTAATCCGAAGGCAGGAGCCAGGTACTTCTCCTGGTCTCCCATGTGGGTGCAGGGCCCAAACACTTGGGCCATCCTCCACTGCACTCCCTGGCCACAACAGAGAGCTGGCCTGGAAGAGGGGCAACCAGGACAGAATCCGGTGCCCCGACTGGGGCTAGAACTCGGTGTTCCGGCACCGCAGGTGGAGGATTAGCCTAGTGAGCCGCAGTGCCGGCCCACTTATCAGTTCTAATAGTCTCCTGGTAGAGTGTTTTCATTCCTCTCTATATAGAATCATGTCATCTGCAAACAGGGATAATTTGACTTCCTTCTTTCCTATTTGTATGTTTTTTCTTTCCATCACTTGCCTAATTGCTCTGGTTAAAACTTACAAAACTGTATTGAATATGAGAGGTGAGAGTGTACATCCCTGTTGTTCCAGA